AGATGCACTCCGACTTGGAAGAAAAGAGCCGTAAATAGTTACCTTTTACAACTTAGGTGTTAGTGAGCAATTTCATCTTTTTCTTCTTCGCATTTACCAGCTGTAAACTTTGGTGGAAAGTTCTGGTTATTCGTCCACTTCTGGACTACAGTCCTGTTCCAGAACCTGAGTGTTGCGTGTGCATTCACTCGGCAGATGTGACACATCTATGTGCAGACTGTTGGTTCCTTGCCTCCAGATGCACTCCAACTTCGAAGGAAGCTCCCAATTAGTCGACTCTCACGATATGCTTTTGGGTAGGCAGTGGGTCTATTCTTGTTTTCTCTACAATAGGGCTCCGGAACCCACACGGGGGAGTGACCAATATGTATATTCTGTGTGTTCTCCTAAAATGGGGCAGCGGAAGGCATAATGGCAAGCCAACGTTGAAAATAGCCGTGGCGCCTCTCTCATCGTTTGCTGATGGTAAAGTGAAGAACGCTTTGCTACGCCCTCGGCCGCTGGGCGTATGGGGCTAGACGTCTTTGTTTTAGACAAGCGGTTCGCAACCTGTGGGTCGCGGCACTTTCCTGGGTCGAACGACCCTTTTATAGGAGTCGTCTGAGACCACCGGAAAACACAAATTCACTGAAATTATGGAGTAGCAACAAAGGAAATAATTATATGACTGGGGGTCGCCACAACATGGGGAACTGTATTATAGGGTCGCCACAACATGGGGAACTGTATTATAGGGTCGCCACAACATGGGGAACTGTATTATAGGGTCGCCACAACATGGGGAACTGTATTATAGGGTCGCCACAACATGGGGAACTGTATTATAGGGTCACAACAACATGGGGAACTGTATTAGAGGGTCGCCACAACATAGGGAACTGTATTATAGGGTCGCGGCATTAGGAAGGTTGAGAACCACTGTTATAGATCAATCGGCAAATGGTGGATGATGTGGCGAGCATCACACCGACCGCCTTTACTTCCCAGGACTATACCAGACAAGTTTGGATCGACCTGGGAGCCAAGATCATTTTTGGAAAACCTGGCTGCTACAGGATCTGAACCCACGATCTTCTGACCTGTAGGCGAGCGTGTTTGCTGATAGAAAACACAGGCATAGCACGAATAAGTCCCTAACCGCCGCTGAAGTAATAGGGTCCTTTACTAGTTAACTTTGTCCCAAACAACGCGCTACGGGTGAACAGATTTTCTCAGGCATGTAATAATAACCATTTAGAGAAATCAGATAGCTGTTTATTGCTGCGCTTCGTCTATTAGAATCACCGCTCTAGCCACGCATATAGGATTTCTAAGCTTTAAGCACAAGTAGATGTCACATGTTTTCACAATTACAATTTTGCGACACCGAGTGGAACAGATGTATAGATTTGTTTTTGTTTCTGTGTTTGGCAATATGTCAGGTGGGCGGCAGAACAGTTGGCTCCATACTGGTGGGCAGTAGATGCGAACAGGTTGAGACACACTGCGTTAGACACAGCATCACGGTCCGGTGTTTCTTCCCCGTGTGGATCCCGGGACCACATTGTGAGGATAACAAGAATAGACTCTGCCTCCACAACAAGCACGTGGGAGGGTGAAGGACGCTTTCTTCGAAGTCATAGTTTATTTGCCTGCGAGGCAAGGGACCAACAGTCTGCATACAGAAGATCTGTAAAACGGATGTGCACGCAACATTCAAATTCTGGAACAAAACTAAAATTTCAGAGGTGGAAGTCACCCAGACCTTTCCGCTAGAGCCGGTGAACGCGAATAATAATAGAAATAATAATAATAATTAAAAATAAAATAAAAATAACAACAATAATAATAATAAGGTATGATATTTGTATTTATTTTTTGACCCATGTGTTGGTTATATATATTTCTGTAGCCTATAGTGCTACTTCAATGGCCTGAACTGAATTATGTCCGTATCTCATAGTTGCCGATTCAATCTGTACAAAATACCCGCGTTACGATCACATCTCTATATTTAGAGGTGTTTAGTGGTCATAAGTATCAGTACACTTGCTTCTACAGCGAGGCGCCTTCTTCACTCGGAGGTGACAGGCTCGTTTTCCTGCATGGTAACTCTAGCTTTCGATTTTTTGTTGTCTAGTATGTATACTTATATTTTCTAGTTCTTTCTATAAGTGCCGATCATTTCTTGTATACTGATTTACTATGCATGACTGGGCATTATTTGCCTGTGCCACTCAACAAGTTATATATGTTTCTTACATTCTATGTTTAGTGAGGAACTATTGACAACATTTATGTTTCATACACGAGTTGTATGTTTGGCCTCTCTTCTTCTTCTTCTTCTTCACTTCCTCTTTTACCGCTGTGGGTGTCGAGGGAGATATAAGGTTCTGTTTCTAGCTCTTCTGGCCGCCTCGACCAAAGGCACATCGTGCTGTTGTAGAGTTTCTCTGATATTATCCTTCCATATCGTTCTTGGTCTACCCCGTGCTCTACGTCCTTCTTCTCTTTCCATGTATGCTTTGTATGGTATGGTGTCACAAGGCATTCTCTCTTAGTGGGCAAACCATTTCACTTGCTGTCTTTGTATGTAATCCAGAATTGGTTATGTACCGACTTGTTCTCTTATGATCTCATTTCTGATCTTTAGAAAAACAAACATAAAACATGTGAGATGAGATGTGTGTGAAATGTGAGATGAGATGTGTGTGAAATGTGAGATGAGATGTATGTGAAATGCGGCGGAAAAAAAAACAACAAGAAAAGACGGCCACCAATGAAGAACTTAGAACAACGGTAGGCCAGTATCGATAAATGATTTCATAGAACATCAACGAATAAAATGGTTTGATCATCTTATCATAATAGAACAAAATCAACCTGCAGCGAGAACGTACTAAATGATATGAACAGGCTACAAGGCAAGAGGCAGACCAAGAAAGAGATTGGTGGAGGGAGTAAGACACACAACAGAAGCACAATATGACATTAAAATAACATAACCCTTGACACATTAGGGTCGTGGAGGTGTATTGACGGAAGCTCTAGCACATACAACCCGCCATCTTTCTCTGTCTTCTGCTTGATGAATAAGTCTATGATAACTTAGTCCTGTCCATTTCTTGATGTTGTCATTCTAGGTTCTTCTTCTCCCTCCTCTTCTTCGACAACCCCCCCCCCCCCCATGTTTCTTAAAGTAGAGTCTTTGCAATCGAATCATGTCTCACCACGTGCCCAAACCAAGCTAGCTTACGACGTTTCACCACTGCCAAGAGAGGCTCCTGATGTCCCGCAAATTTGTAGATTTTGTCTCTGACATATTTATTAGTTTTGTGCTCTAAATAACTAATTCGTAAAATGCGTCTGTAGCATCTACATTCGAAATCCTGAATCCTCCTTTCTATTTCCACAGTGAGAGTCCAACTCTCACACCCGTATTAGAAAATAGACAATACAACTGACAAATATAAAGAAAAGCTACACAGCTAGCAAAAGGACAGGATACTACAAAAAACTCCTCTCTGCAACTGTTTACGACGCAAGCAGCAGGGTAAAAGAAGGAGAAGAAAAAGTGGATGATCAAAATTTCCCGTGGGGGTTATCTTTGGAGGACATCAGTGATCTACAACCGCGACCCCTTTCACTCGCTGTCCTGTGACACATTTGTATCGGCGACATCCCTGTCCGAGGCCACAGCCGAGTTGCGGAGACATGCCCAATGTGTCAGACATGGGACGAATCATCTCCCCGGGTGGGTGTAATTATGCCTCATCTCCCAAACGGGGGGCTAAAGATTCCATATCAGCAGCTGGGCCGTCTCCACGGCGTCATTCAACAAGAGTTGTGAACATTTTTTGACACGAGAAATGGCAACAGCGAATGATGGGGGTTGAATGCGTGAGAAAAAGAGTTTGGGTTGAATCGCTTATTTGTCCCCTGCACCCTTTATGGCATTCACTTTATCTTTTCCTTCTTGATGTTGTTTTGTCTTTGTTACTCGGAGCACTTTTTACTCTGTTTATACTAAACCTCGCGCTTATTTATATGTATCGCAATGGTCTAGGGTAGGGCTATTCAACTAACGGCTCGCGGGTCGAATCCGGCCCACAAAGGACTAGCAAGCGGCCTGCTCGCGGATCATTGCCAAATGCATCGTATTTCTAATCTTTCTAGGCGGGGGATCAAACGTCTGGCCTCTGACGATCCCTACTTTTCAATTCAGTTGACTAACCGGGGTTCTAGGGATTTTCCGGGGTCTAGGAATCTTCCGGGGTCTAAGGATCTTCCAGGGTCTAGGGATAAGTGTGGCTTCCTGGATCTAAGAATCATTGTGGCTTCCTGGATCTAGGGATAAGAGTGGCTTCCAGGGTCTAGGAATAAGTGTGGCTTTCTAGATTTAGGGATAAGTGTAGCTTTCTGGATCTAGGGATATGTCTGGCTTCTGTGGTTTAGGGATAAATGTGGCTTCCGGGGTCTAGGGATAAATGTGGCTTCCGAGGTCTAGGGATAAATGTGGCTTCCTGGATCTAAGGATAAGTGTGGCTTCCTGGATCTAGGGAATAGGGTGGCTTCCAGGGTCTAGGGATAAGTGTGGCTTCTTCTTCTTCTTCTTCTTTTTCTTCTTCTTCTTTTTCTTAGCGTTCACTGCTGTAAACTTCGACAGAAAGTTCTGGTTGTTCGTCCACTTTTGGACTGATCTTGTTATAGAACATGGGTTTGTGCGTGCACATTATTTTCACACATCGTGCTTATTGGAATGCAGACCGTTGGTTGCTCGCCTCTCAGGCAGATGTACTTCGACGTCGAAGGAAACTCCTAAAACCTGTCGCCTTATACGGCATGTTTGTAAGGCAAGCTGTGGGTCTATCCTGTTTGGTCTCTATACCATCTCTGTACAAATATTTTGAAAAAACATAACCGCTAGATGTTTAATTTTTGCCTAGAAATAATCGTCTGCTCTGTTCTTTCTTTGTAGCTACCGCCCACCGCTGGCAACCATGTTAAACATGGCGTCAAGTATGGACGGGCTGGAGCAGGATATGATGAAGCAACAGTCAGCCTTCATGGAGCTCCAGCAGCAAACTGGAGGCCTGGCCCACAGCATGGGCCACCACCCGGCCTACCAGATCCGCCCGCAGTACCCGGGGGCGCACCCGCAGCACCATCAACCACATGACGTGTTTTCCAGCCAACAACATGGCCGCAGTCTTGGCTACCCCTTTGCCATGAACGGAATGGCTGGCTCCTACAACACAGTGCCGTCACATCCATTTTCTGTTAGCCCATACCAGACGCCATCACCTCCTAGGGACGGTAAGTCGTTATTTTTTCTTCCAAGGATTAATACATTTCTTCTTCTTCTTCTTCTTCTTCTTCTTCTTCTTCTTCTTCTTCTTCTTCTTCTTCTTCTTCTTCTTCTTCTTTTTCGTTTTCGTTTTCGTTTTCGTTTTCTTTTTCTTCTTCTTCTCATTCTTCTTGTTCTTCTTCTCCTTCTTCTTGTTCTTATTCTTGTTCTTGTTCTTGTTGTTGTTGTTGTTGTTGTTGTTGTTGTTGTTGTTGTTGTTCTTCTTCTTCTTCTTCTTCTTCTTCTTCTTCTTCTTCTTCTTCTTCTTCTTCTTCTTCTTCTTCTTCTTCTTCTTCTTCTTCTTCTTCTTCTTCTTCTTCTTCTTCTTCTTCTTCTTCTTTTTTCGATCCTTCTGTCAGAAAACTTATATGAGGAGACCGATAGCATTTATGAAAAGAAGTCGGGAGAGGATATAAGGGCTTTGTCAATAGTACGGACATCTGATAAGAAACTCTTCGCCTGTATCGCCGTCCGCACCCAATTCCGTGGCTACTGCGACGTTCCTCCGTTTACCCCAGAGTGTTTACTCTGGTACCCATTTCCTAGAGGCTGGGTGAACGCCAGGAACCGCCCAGTTTCGAAAACCGGTGGCGGACTGCAGCGAGTCGCAGCTGGATTTGAAAGCGAGTCTCCTATCGACTGCGCTAATGCAGCCCTAGCATTTATGAAGGCTATCGTGCAGTCCATATGTCGGTGTGTCCCACACAGCTCCATTAATGAATGTTTTTTTTTTTAAATCCCCCTCAAATGATCATTATGTTTTTTTTCCAATGATCTATTCTTCAAATTCCCAGTTTATCATTAAAAAATAAAATCATCAATATATTTTTGTTATCAAATCACCAATATACTTATTTACTTTATCAAATCATCAGTATCCCTTCCTTTTCAAAAGATCAATGTTTTGCTGGCAAAGGATAATTATACTTTAATTAAATATCATAAGCAGACTTTTCAGAGGTTGAATTTCCTTTAAAGAAATCGATTTACTCTCTCCAGTACAATCATTATTCTTTTCTTTTCTTGTTTTAAATAGTTGTTACATTTTTGTTTTCAGATGATCAGCAATTCATGTCTTTTGTTTTCTCTTCAAATGACAGTTTTAGAAAAAATCTAACTTCTTTTTCTTAAAATGGTTAATCTTTCTATTTAATCACTTTCATTTTCAAATCATCGTTATTTTTATTTTCTCCCCTTCCCCCCACGCCCATCGAGATACCCTAAATGACATGAGTAGACACTGCTACTGTTACAACTAACTCTACTACTGTTACAACTAACTCTACTACTGTTACAACTAACTCTACTACTGTTACAACTAACTCTACTACTGTTACAACTAACTCTACTACTGTTACAACTAACTCTACTACTGTTACAACTAACTCTACTACTGTTACAACTAACTCTACTACTGTTACAGCTAACTCTACTACTGTTACAACTAACTCTACTACTGTTACAGCTAACTCTACTACTGTTACAACTAACTCTACTACTGTTACAGCTAACTCTACTACTGTTACAACTAACTCTACTACTGTTACAGCTAACTCTACTACTGTTACAACTAACTCTACTACTGTTACAACTAACTCTACTACTGTTACAACTAACTCTACTACTGTTACAACTAACTCTACTACTGTTACAACTAACTCTACTACTGTTACAACTAGCTCTACTACTGTTACAACTAACTCTACTACTGTTACAACTAACTCTACTACTGTTACAACTAACTCTACTACTGTTACAACTAACTCTACTACTGTTACAACTAACTCTACTACTGTTACAACTAACTCTACTACTGTTACAACTAACTCTACTACTGTTACAGCTCTACTGAGAAGAGCAAGACATACCATACAAATTAGCCTAGCAAAGACACTACAACAATGGGGAGCGATAACGAGGGCTGAAAGAGAGCCCCAGCTAAGTGAGGGCAAGCCTACCGGTGTGGGCAGTGGTCAACTAATGGCATTCAGCGAGGGAGGTCCATGCTCCAGAGAAGGAACGAACGAACCTTTATTTCAAAGGGTTATAAATTGGGCACGCAGGCCCGTCTGACATTCGGCCCTTAGGTCATAGGTAATAAGGGCCTAGCTTCTCTACATACTGTTTTTAACCACGCCGCTACTGTTAACAACTCACTCTCCAGAGCACCCTCCACTATTAAAAGTGGAGGGGTTACAACTAACTCTACTACGTGGGTTTAGGAACTAACATCTGTGTCTACTGTTACAACTAACTCTACTTTTTCTGTCGGTCTACCAACTAACTCTCACTACTGTGGCAAGGACAAAGTTACGAACGAAACTTACTACTGTTACAACTCTCTGAAGTATTACGATGATGATGTTACCAACTAACTCATACTACTGTTAGGACTAATCTAAACTGTTACAACTTACTGTTACAACTAACTCTAGTACTGTTACAAAAACTCTACTAAGTTAGGAAACTAAGTCGGAGATGTTTTTATAACTAACGTTATACTGTTACAACCCACTAAGACTACTGGTTACAACTAAAAGAAGAAGACGAAGAACAAGAAGAACTACTACTGTTTTACAACTAACTCTACTAACAACAAGATCTCTAGATAAAAAGCAACTAACTCGGACTAAGGAAGGACAACTAACTCTACTACTGTTACAACTAAGAAGTACTGTTACAAGAACTCTACTAGGTTACAACTAACTCTACTACTGTAGAAGAAAAGAAGAAACTGTTAAAGACTCTACTACTGATACAAACTAAACTAGTTACAACTCGCTACAAAAGAAAACTCTAATACTGTTACAACAGGTTGTACTACTGTTACAACTAAAAACTGTTACAAAAACTCTACTACTGTTACAACTAGAGAGGTAGCTGTTGATGAAAATCTACTACTGTTAGAAGAATAAGAAGAACTAAGAAGAAGAAGAAGAAGACTAGAAGAAGAGAGAAGAAGAAGAAAAGAAGACTGGAAGAAGAAGAAGAAGAAGAAGAACTAATAAGAATAGAAGAAGAACTAAAGAAGAAGAAGAAGAAGAGAGAACTAGAAGAAGAAGAAGAACTCTACTAGAGACAAGAACTCTAAGAAGAACAAGAACTCTACTACTGAAGGAGGAGGAGAAGAAAACTGTTACAACTAACCGTGACGTGAGAACACACAAACTTCCCAATGGCTGGCAAACAGTGAGGTGTGCACCAGTTACAGACACTGGCTGCATTACCACCCTCAGCATGTTTTTGGGATGCCTGTGATTTGTCCTGTCATTTATACGTGTAGTAGTTTTTTAATGCCTTCAGTCCGGTCAGCGTTCTATACCACTGTCGAAATCAAAGCCAAGCGGTCTGCTGGTGTATCGCCCGCAGCTGTACTCGAATCGAGTATTTTGAGATTACAAATATCTTTCGCAACGCCTGTCACAGATGCCTATTGCTGGTAAACAGTTTAATCAGAATCAAAGAGTGCTCTAGCGAATCACTGACAACAAACATAAATAACTAACTCTAAAAGCCCTAGTGACACAGTTGGTAGATTCCTAGCGGCAGAGATGAGGTCTCCGCTTTCATTACTCGCCAGCTAAATTCTGTGTTTCACTTAAGTTGTGAAATATTTATCAAGCACTGGGCCTGGCATGCAAGGAGCACCTGGGGAGCACTGGAGCGATATGCAGATACGAGCACTCGAATCACGGCTGGTAGGGACAATCAGGGAAAATCGATGGGACTTGGGGTAGCAATTTGGCATGCACGTAATCTGTTTCTGGGTCAGGCGGATTGGGTTTTCCCGAAGACTTGTCCAGTTTCTGGGTGTATATGTGGTTGCTTTTAAAGATGTAGACATTTATTTATCACTGCCCCTTCAACCATAACCATAACAACAACAACAACAACAACAACAACAAACAATATAAACGACAACAACAAGTGGGAAATATGAACAGGAAAACATCACCACCCACCATCTCAAGAAAAAGACACCACCAAGAATAAGAAGAACAAGAAGCAGACCTTACAACTAGTCGCCCAGTCACTACCACCACTCTACAAAGAACACTACCCTACACTCTTCAGTAGACCGCCCTTAAAAATACCACCGCCCCAGAACCAGGAAGAACTATTGTCGCCAGAAGAAGACTAAACTACAAGAAGAGTACCACCGCCCTTACCAGTAGACCAAAGAAGAAGTCACCACCACATTTTATTGTCGCCAGAAGAAGACTAACAATAAGAAGAAGAAGAACCAAGAAGAAGACCACTACCACCGCCCCAGTCAGAACCAGACTATTGAAGCCACCATTACACTACAGAAGACTCTAGAAGTACCACCGCCCTTACCACTACCACCGCCCCAGTCACCACCAGAACTATTGTCGCCACCATTACACTACAGTACACTCTTCAGTACCAAGCCCTTACCACTACCACCGCCACAGTCACCACCACAACTATTGTCGCCACCATTACACTACACTACACTCTTCAGTACCACCGCCCTTACTACTACCACCGCCCCAGTCACCACCACAACTATTGTCGCCACCATCACACTACACTACACTCTTCAGTACCACCGCCCTTACCACTACCACCGCCAAGTCACCACCACAACTATTGTCGCCACCATCACACTACACTACACTCTTCAGTACCACCGCCCTTACCACTACCACCGCCACAGTCACCACCACAACTATTGTCGCCACCACATTACACTACACTACACTCTTCAGTACACCGCCCTTACCACTACCACCGCCCCCAGTCACCACCACAACTATTGTCGCCACCATTACACTACAGTACACTCTTCAGTACCACCGCCCTTACCACTACCACCACCACAGTCACCACCACAACTATTGTCGCCACCATTACATTACACTACACTCTTCAGTACCACCGCCCTTACCACTACCACCGAAAGTCACCACCACAACTATTGTCGCCACCATTACATTACACTACA